TAGTCTCTAAATTGGAGGAAATAAACAAAGATCAACTGGAAAGTGGTAAAAAAGGGTCTGAAACAGGTCACCTGTACACATCATCTTTCTCTCTGTCTGGAGCAGGAAAAAAAAAAAAGATGAAATCGCACTTGAGTCGTGGTAGAGCACGAATTTTAATAAGCCCCCTTTCACTGTGTTACTATTTATTTTTACTTTATTCAAATATGTGCTGAACTAGGGTGATCTCTTATTTCACATTTCCTAAATAGAGAATCCCAAATGAATAACAGTAGTCAAATGAAGGGTGGTGATTCCACACCAATGGGTCAGTTTGACTGAAGGGTAAACATCCTAGTACAGCAGTGTGAATCAGCCTTGTGAGAAAATAGTTACAACTCCATAGCTGTCCAGCGGTGCCTCCAATTCTCAGTTATCATTTTGGTATCTGCGACAGGAACCCAATGATTCTTCCTTATTGTGTGTTTCAAATCCATAAGTTATTCCTGTTCCTCAATTCAGAGGCAAAATTCGGTAAGGTGAGTGATACAGGCTCAAGAAACCAACTGTATAAAACAAAAGACAGATGGCCAAACCCATGATTCACCAGTGATGAGCTGCAATTGGGCCACATAGACTTTGAAGTAATTCATTACATTTGTACCTCTTCTTCAGGGGGAGGATTTTTTTCTCAATGATTTGTATGACCTTGCTAAACCCAAGTAGGTGGTAATTGAGCAGCAACTACTTCTTCAAAAGAAACAGAATAAAAATATTGAAAATATTGACTCACTCCAAAGGCAGTAAGCAGCACTTTGGTCTTTGACCTTTAAGCATCCTAAGGTAGTCAATAACCTGGCTGTTGGATGCTGTGCCTGCCACTGATTTTGATTTGGGAGTAGTTTAACCTTGAACCAAGATCCAAGTAACCACGGCAACAGGAAGTCGGCCTCTCCATCCAAGGAGTGGGAATCCATAAATCAAGGTCCCTAATGCAAACACTGTGTGCAGGTAGAGATTTGAGAGGATAAGTGGTTTGTGAGGGATTACCTTTGAAAAATGAATGACTGTCCCTTGATATGTTGAAGCACAGCTTCACAGAGACCTTTTTTTATCAATAGAGGTTAACAGGTTACAGCTGCATGTTTTCATACAGCTCTTTATATAGGCCATTCAGTTTAATTAGAACCAGATGCTGAATTTATTAGGCTGTTATATGCACGTGCATATATATGAATGCATATTGATACATACACCCACACATAAGCGCCTTTCTTGTGCACAATCTACATTCGTGACAAAGTAATGTTAAGCCTCAAACTCAAGCACTATGGGATGGTGAAGCCTTAGCTTTTCACACGCACGGTTCCATAGTCCTGGGATCACATAAGCATAATTGTCTGGCCAAATATTTCAGTCTTTCTGTGGAACAGTGCTTTATTCAATGTATAGCACTCACCTAATGAACAGCTATTTGGTAGTTTGATTTTCCTCTCCTTATTCAGTGTGTGACCCCATGTCTCATTTATTCCACATTTCTAAGCCTTGCTATGAATAGATGAATGTTTCATGAATGTTGATAATTTTATTTTTGCAGCACTGCTCTTGAGATGAGGGGTATATTATTGTTCTCATTTGTAATAGGGAAGCTGAGCAGAGAGGGATTGAAGTTGAATGGATACAATTTGAGATGCTTAGTGCTCAATTTGAGGCTCTGGGAGAATGCACAGTCTAATATGCAAAGGCTCCTCAGTATATCTCTTCCAAGCCACAACCTCTGACTGCAATTCTGTCTCAGCCCTGAATCTTTCTGCTTTCGGACTCATTCTGCTTTATTAAGTTGCAGGTTTTTAATCTAGACTCCTCTTCCAGACTCATTCATTCTGTAGCCCCTAATCTTTCAGACTCCTCTCACCAGTTCAGTCCTCTGCTTGAGTCTGATAAAGATCTTTTCCACAATTTCTGGGGTCTTGTAGGTTTCCTGACTATTTCTCATTTTGCATGCAAGGACAAAGGTAGAAACTGTCATAGCAGCTCCGACTATGAATGCAAGAAAATGTTTATATCTGGAATGGCTGAGTACTGACAACAGAGGCAGCAAACTGCCTGGAAATCATCTTGATCTTCTGAGAACTTCTTTGAAGATCTTTAAGGAACTCTTTGAGGAACTACCAGATGCTAACCAGCTGTGGTTAGGGAGAGCAGTGGGCGCTAACCCCTGCATAAGATGAACGGCCCAGTCTTCTGACCTGACCTGCTGTCAAGTGGTTTTCCAGTAGCCTGGAACTTAGATGAATGACATTGTGGAGAGGCATCCAAGGCTTCAGAAGTCCTTGGACTGATAATATTGCTCGAGTTTTGGATTTTGGGAGTTTGTCAATCTTGGCTAAGTGCCTCCAAGGGCTGTGATCAAGGCCATGAGGACGCAGGTGTTTTGCTCCTCAATCCTGCAAGTGAGATGGAAGGGCTTGAAGAAGGCTGGATAGTTTTTGTGTATTAACTACTCATTGTGCAGCTGGTACTGACAAAATGGATTAATTTTTTAATGACCATAGGATCCTCTTTGAGGTTAGAGAAACACTAAGAAGAGAAGAGTTTCACATGAAAAGCAATAAAGCATCTTTTCCAACAGCCTAGCCAAATTGGTAAGGAGAACTTTAAACTAGAAGTTACAGGGGAAAAAGATGGTGACCCACAACCAAGTGAGGAAGTGATGAACCAGGCTGACGAGAAAAGTTTTCAGGATGATAATAGAAAGGAGTAGAAAGTCATGGAGCAATGCCTAAGAATTAGTGATGGACCAGCTGAGAGCTTACAAGTCAGTGTTCACAAGCAGACTAATATGGACAGTGTGAGTGTTTGCTGTAGATCCCTTGATTAGAAAAAAGGAGAAGAGGTCTTTTTTAATTGCTGAGAAGAAGCCTATTGTTCACCTCAGTGTGACAGGAAAAAGAAAAGGAAAAAGAAGGACTGCAGCCTGCTTTGAAAAATCTGACTGAATCATGGAATACAGCCCTGAAGAAAAGTGAATTTGAGGAGAACTTGTTGATTTTCGATTACCTTCTCCAAATTCAAAAATGTTCCGCAACAGTGAGCATCAATTCAAGCAAAGGTAGCAGGAGACTTGCATGCATGAGCAAAGAGCTACTAACTAATGTCAGACATGGAAAGCAAGCAAAAAAAAAGAGGAGAAAGGAGGAGCTGCTGGAGAAATATAGAGAAAATATCTAAGCATGCAGAGGTGGGCTTATGAAAGCCAAAGCCTATCTGGAATTGAATCTGGTGGAAGTAGATGGACAAAGAATGTCCAGCAGGTACAGGAGCAGGAAAAAAAAAAAAAAAAAGACTAGGGAAAATGTTGGCACAGTGCTGAATGGAGGAGAGACACCTGTGGCATGGAATAAAACAAAGTATTCAATGTCTTCTTGAGCTTTCCTGATAAGTCTAGTCTTTCGAGACCCAAAGGTGATGAGACCTCTGAGGAAAGAAAACATATCTGTGCTATAGGAGGATCATGTTAGGAATTATTTTAGTAGACCAGACACAGAAAAATCCAGAGATTTATGAAGAGAAATCATCCATGATCAGCATGATGGTGCTTTTCTCTTTGCCCAACGAGATTTTGAAGCCTCCATCCTTGAAGATATTTAAAATCTAATTGGACGTGGTCCTGGTAACTGGCTGACTGTGCTTGAGAAGGGAATTGGATTAGATGAGCTCCAGAAATCTCTTCCAACATCAGCTCTTCTGTGATTTTATGAATCTTCATGTAATTTAATTCCCAGAATCCATATTTTCTCTGAGGCTCATGTACAAGATTTGAAAAAAAGAAATTATTTAAGAAGAGCTACATTTGAAAAATGAGTGGCTGTCCTGAATATGTTGAAATCCATTATTGCAGATACTGAGAAAGGTCTTCATAAATTAGTAAAGACACAACAAAAGATCCTCATCTTTGCTTCAGTCTCATGAAAGCAGAACTACTGGATCTTTATAAAACAGCCACTGCTAGGAGTTTACCAGAATCAACAAAAACTTCCTGATTTTTCTGTAAAAAATGCTGAGCTATTTTAGCTGACTTCTCACTTAGTAAATTCATGTATTCATAGATGGATATGTACATATCCACATAGGCAAACTCATGCAGATATTACATATAAAGGGCCAGGCATACATTCAGATGTATACACAGGAAGATATAATATGTAACATTTTAAAAATAGTGGTTTAAATATGAAACATTTACATGGAAAAAAAAAAAAAAAAAGTAATAAGAATTAAAGTCATAAGAGAGCGTGAGGAAGATTGCTAAGGTAGAAATTTAACAGCCCTGTTTGCATAGCTTTTATTTTTTCTGTAGTCCTCTGTATATTTCTAAGTTAATTCATTTCATGTTGTAATCTACATACACCATCAGAATTGGTTGGCAAACAAAAGTATGGCAAAGAGTTCTTTTTCTTTTTTTTTAAACTCCTACCTCTTTGATGAGTTGTAAAGTATAATTTTATAAGGAAGAGGATTCCTAAAAAATGAGTAAAAGTCTGATGTGCGTTAAAGAGGGAATGACATGCTGAGGCCATTATTGGTGCCTTTACTCAGATGAAGCACACATTCAATCGAGTCACTACAGAAGTACATAACCACGTGCAGAGAACAAACTATACAGAGAATGACAAATAGATGATCCCGATGAAAAGAGATAAGAAACATGTCTGTTTTTAAACATGTACAGGTAGGGGTATATCTTTACAAAATAATATGTAACAATGTGGAATTACCATGTTGGTTTGCCATTGTTATAGAGATCACTGATGATAACCCTTCAGGCAGAAGTATTAGAAATTACCAAAAATTTTGATTTCTCGAGCCTCAAATCCACATTAGATCTTGAAATCAGACACTTACAGGGAAATGTGAAAATGTACTGGAGTGGCAAGGACTGTCACCAAGTACACAATTCCAGATATTCTGCACTCAGATTACTTCCTAAATGTTCATCCAAATTTTGCTTTCTTTCCTAGGAATTGTAGGCCCCCACTTAAAAGCAGATCAGACTTCACTTCACAGTAAAATGGAAAGTTCTGCCTGTAATGTGATGACCAGAAGGAAACCAGCAACTGTAGAGAGTGTTACAATGCCGACTCCAGTATTATCTCTCCTACCTTCATCATCAGCAACATCTGAAGCAGGTAAAGTGGCTTCTCTCCACCTCTTCTACATCTCCTCCACCCTCTTTCTACTGGCACTGCATTGAAAAATATGTTTTTTTTACTGTTTTCCCTGATTTAAGTAGTTGTTGCAAATGCGCAAATCCAATGTGATAATCAGGCAGTAATTCTTCTTAACACTTTCTTACCATGATCATATCTTGGCTATTCAAATATATTTTATTCACATAACACTACTTGTGCAATAATGAGGATTCAACAAGAGCACTTATGGTCTAGCAGGGGACTCTGAAGTAAGGCTCCTGGGTTTCTTTCTCAGCCCTGTTGTTCATTTATTTGAATGTTCCCATCCGTGTAGCACGAATACCTAGTGAATAGCTAAGGAGCAGCTGAGATTTCTTCAGCATACTTCAGTGATTTTAGCATAATATTCTGTCTTGAAAATGTGAAGTTGTTTAGGGCAATGAACAGTGATTTAAAGCACATAGGAATAAATAAGCCAGAGTAACATGTTTTTCAATCAATTTATACTTTGTGCTTCTGTTTGGAATCACATTGGAAGGTGATACAGCTTAGTACTGTCAGAAGTTGAGCCAAGTCATTCCAGCATCATCATGCTTGAGCACAGATAGATAAGTTGATCTTGAATTATGTCATAGTGAATGGGGAACTCGCCATACTGAATCCTACATGCAGCCATTAAGAATTTCTTAGTCTCGTCAAATATCTGAATCCACATAAACAAACATTATATCTGTATCCCTTAGTTATGGAATGATAACATACTTAATTATTCATTTGAAATTACTGTTTCAGTGCTTTCCTTTTGTTTTCCTCTGGTTTCCTGAATAAAGAGTGAAAACAAAGGACCCATGTTGTAAAGTGGCTTCTAAAAGGATATAATTCTACATAAGAAAACCAGGAGTCTGTTTAGCTTTTAATACTTCCCTATATATAAACTAAGGAGAGATTTTTAATGCAACAGAGAATGAAAGTACACAAATATTTTACGATCACTTTCAAGGTGAAAATGTATGCTAGACTTGAAATAGTTAATTCTCTCGATTTTCAGAGGACTAATTAAATTGTTGGTTTATCTGTAGCCCAGATGTTGAAATTTAGAGAAAATTGAAAGAAACGGTGTGAATGGGAAAACAGGACAGTGCTTTGGGCTTCCTGTAAGTAATGGGGAGCTCCTTGAAAATCTCTCCATTCAAACCAAGTTGAAAACTGAGCCCAGCTGTTGAGCAGTTTTCTCTGTGCTGTGTTCTTGCAAGCAGCCCCAGGCAAATCTGAAAGGATAGAGTAGAGAATGACAGGCAGTAAGATTGATCCCTAGTGTCACAAACACACCAAAGCCATTCAGAATAAAGTTTGAGAAGCAGTGAAGAACTTCCAAAGCATCTGAAACACCTTGCCTCACTTCTGTGTTCTGTACCATTGTGCTAGAATGGGTTCTTCAAACCCCTGTAAGCTTCCTTGGGAGCATATGTTTTTGGTAGAGACTTTTCTTATTGCTTTGAAAGCTGTTACATGTGTAATATCAACCCTGTTCAACTTCCCAGCTTGGCCTGCAATCACTTTAATTTATCTGTGGGACAAAGGCATCTGCTCCCAATGGCAAATACAGGACCTCCATTTTCCTTATTTTAAATGTGTAAAGCTGTATTTTTTAAGACTAACACCAATTCTTTCTACCTTGAGGTAGCTTGGCAAGGTGTTTTTTTGTTTGTTTGTTTGTTTGTTTTAATATGGTAAGGAAGGGATGGAGGAGAAGTACAAAAGCTTTATTGGGTAGAAATAAGCAGCAGCTATGTGCACCAGTAGTGCATAATTTTCCAGTTTGTTTTCATAATCAGCACTTGACAAAGATAACTGAAGTGCGTATGTCTCTAATAGCATGGGGCAAGTTTTAGACAGCAGCTTCCAGAAAGCAGATCAGAAATACAGGTGCTTGTCTGAATTTTCTGTGTTTTGGGAAGCCAAACTGCTTCCTTCTCCCATTGCTGTCTAATGATGTTTCAGAAATAAGGATCCCCCACAATAGGTCCTCCATACAGACAAATGAAGAATCTCCTGACAGCCTTTTTCTGATGTCCAAGTTCTGTCTTCTGTTCAGCTCTGATTGCTTTTATTCCACAGTACTGGATTTTCCAGTTATGTCCTCCTTCTCTCTGTTGTTGCAAGCCTCCAGGCAGGTTCTGTGGTGGGAAAAGTATCTCTTCCAACACCTCTTTGCTGTGTGGAATTCAAGCTGTCACTGCTTGTAGCTGTGTCTGGAGGAAATATCCTGATTACAGTAAGCAGATTGATGTCCTCAAGTGTGAACAGTCACAATATAAGGAAAGATTCATTTAGCAATATTGCATTGCATCAGCTATTTCCAGTCTCTATTCACTTTGGTCAGGACTGTGCCAACTAGCTTCAGGCCTTCATAGAGGCAACGTATAGCTTTACAGCCTGGCAAGGTGTGGATAGAATACTTTGTCCAGGAAGCAAATCTCCTCTATTCCTCTCCTTCCTGTACTGCTCTCTGTCCTGTAGTCTCCTCCATCAACTGGAGGTTGCCATCATGTTGTGTCATCTCTTAGAAGCATCCCATCTTCCTGTGCCTGTGTACAAACATATTGTTAGTCTGGCCAACTTCCTCCTCATCTCTTTTGAGATAGCGATAGGGGAAATTCTTCCAACCAGAGCAAAGTTTCCATATGCAAATAGTAAAGTATGTGCAAGAATGGAACAACAAATCTTGAAAACAGAGCAGACAAATTTGAATCCAGGGTTGAGAAAGATCTGTCTGAATAAAATGGAAAAGCTTAGTATTTACCTTTGGTTTTCAGCAAAGCAGTATATCACGTGGCAATATAGCAAAATATATTCTATCAGAATTGCTGACCAAGAGCTTCTAGATGAGTTGATAACACCTGATGGCTGTCGCTTCAATAGTGGCTTATTTTGTCAGATCTCTGATATTTTGTTATAAGCACACCTCATCAAATCTTCCCCCTGCAGACCCATCAGATTCTTTTCCACAGAGTCACCCTTCTTCTAATTTAAAATCAGATGCTCCTGAATCTCAATAGCCAATATAATATTGGTTTTCTTAATACATCCTTTAAAAGCCTGATTTAGAGGGATATTATTTATTCAAGACATGCATTCTGACTATTGGCAGACTACATAACACAACTCTTGCAAGTTCAGAGGCTTGCTAGAGAGAAAAGCAAAAGCGTTAGTAGTTACTAATAAACTTCCTGAGAAAATCATAAAGGCTACAAAGCACCAAATGCACTTACAAGGAAAAAAAAAAAAAAATAGGAGGATAAAAAAATAAGACAGTAACCTAGCATAGAACAACTTTATCTATCTATCTATCTATCTATCTATCTATCTATCTATCTATGTATTTATCTATCTCTTTATTTATTTACTTATTTCAAGAGAAATTGAGTTTCAGTCCAAATTGAAAGGGTCTGTCAGTCTATAAATTTTTAGGAGAGCAAGGAAGTATCTACACAATAAAGGAAGGCACTGGGTCATCAGCTCTCAGATTTACATCTATGTGTAGATATCTACCCATACATGTTAGTGTATCAACTGAATTTGGAGAACTAGACACACTGAGTACTGCACTCAGTTTCTGCCTACACTAGTGGATCTCTCTTGAGATCCACTTAGGTCTTTAAGCCTCAGTGTCCTCTTCTTCTTGAGTACTCAAGATAATCATCAGAGAGCTGGTATGACCATCAGAATACATGTGCATATTATATTATTTAGTACCAGCAATAAGGAGGATGTCATGTCAAATGGCAGTAAACTCCTATTTTGAAAATGGCAAATAGATATCATTGATTTCAATGGGCTGCAGAAATAACAGATACTGATAGATCTCAGTAAAGACATAAAATTGTGCAGATTTTTCTTTTCAAATTCTTTCCTGTCCTTTGGCTTGCTGTCTTTCCAATTAAAGTTGAGACCAGTGCCAAATCTACTAACTTTACTGCTTTTTTAATTTTTTCTTTCTTTTAATTTTTGCTAAAATTCTCATCTGCAAAATTTATGTCATTAACTTTCTGAGAAAAAAAAAATGCATCTTGAACATGGGAGTTTTCAAAAAGTCTCACAAATGACTCATGATAATGGTGATGCATGGCAACATGGCAATAGTAATAAAAGGCAAAATGTGGACAGCAAATGGTGTGCAAAGTGACTTATTCAATATTCTAATCTGAAGCTTCTAGCAGGATTTTGGAGGGACTCAAAGGAGCTGAATGCTTAGGATTGAAAATACTGGGACTTTGTATGTCAGTCATGAGTGAAGCCCCTGAGAGTTATGGTTTTGTGTGACCAGAATCTAACTTTTTTGATCAGGTGACTGAGAAAGAGCTCTCTGCCAGCTGCCTTTAGGGTTCTTACCTCCACACTTTTTAGGGGTAACCTACTTGAGAGAAATTCTGTGCAACTAATCAGATTCCCCTTAGTAATTTGACATTTCTTTTCCTTTCTCTTTTTTTCTCTGGTACCAAAATGACTGCATTCCTCTATTCTTTTGTCCTCTGTGAATCACAAACTGTAAATGGGTTTTATTTTATTTTTATTTTTTTTGGTGCGGGGAGTGGGTTACATATGGAAAATGTATTTTGTTTTGTAATTAATGAAAACCAGACTTTGGGAAGTTGGCCATCCAGGTCCTTATTTATAAGAGAGCATATGTCTGTGTTTTGTTTATGACTCATTCCTACTTCTTGCATTGTAACTTGCGTTTGTTTATGCAAGCTCTTTGCTGAATCCAAGCAACATGGTAGTGTAAGAGCCAATATTTTTGTTGTCCAAGAGGGGAGGACAGTAAGTAAGGCTCGTATGCCAAATCTGTCATAGTGAGCAAGGGAAGATTCTGCCACTTGATGGCTCCTGATTATCTACAGAGTTGCTACACCAGCAACTTTATTTTAAACTGCTGCTAGAAGATTATGTTGTTAACCACGAAGAGAGTGATAACCCTCAAAAGAACCTTTCTTGAAATCTTGGCTGCTCTAGAAACTTCAAGTATTTCAAAGCCAAATGACTGCTTGCCAGTCAGGTGTAAATTAAGTTTGCAAGTAGACATGAGCTGAGGTTAATTTAGTGGGATGTTTTAATCTTTACTGGAAAGAAATCATGAACTCTGTCATTTCTCTTCCAGTAGTGCAGAATTGATGTGTTAGGAGTGAAATGGAGAACCAATTATTGTAATAGCAGAATTAATACATTCTGTCTTGCTCACAAAGACGTAGTTACTTGTAATCTACATGGAAATCTTGAACTCTGAACAGACACCATGCTCATTAACGGACAATGAAATAATTTAGGAAAAACAAGCAAGATCTTATGTCCTAAGTAAAGGCCAAGAAGCCAACAAATGCTGGACTCTCTTCCAGCTCTGACAGTGACTCATGATGTGACCTTGGCAAGAGACTTAACTGCTTTGGACTTCATTCAGATCTAAAGTAAGTGATCAGAACCAGAAAGGAGCAAGCTTGCTTCAGGGGACATTAAAGTCAATTAGATGACAGTGTAGTTTCAGCTAGTTTCTGCAGAGATGATAGTAAAGAAATCCAGGCAGAATTAATTAATTTAACACAAGTGGAGTAAGCCACTGAACTTGCCTGTGCCCAGTAGTTTCAGTAACGAACTTTTTTAATACTATATGATGTGCAAGAATTAAAGACCAGGATGAAGGTATCAGGAGCATATGTTTGGTGTATATTAAGTTCAGTAGTTATGGTGGACTGATGTAACATTTGTATTAAGCAGCCCCTTTTTTCCCTTTTTTCCCTTTTTTCCTCACTAGAGAAGGAGACTGAATCAAACTCACAGTATAACACTGCTGTAGAAAAGTTTTGCTGCTTTAGAAGTGAAGAGAGAGATCTCTGAGCACAGCTCAAACTTAGGTTATCATCTGGAAGAGTAGAAGGGGAGGTAATAGCAATTCTGGGATGACACTAAATTACCTATATTATTCTTATATTCCTTTTCTATGCAGAGTCATTTCACACATCTTCTACTTCTTCAATAGTCATATTCACCCTATCAGTCTTGAAAGCTCCCCTTCTTCATAATACTGAAGGCAGGATTTCCATTCACTTGCTTGATCTAGTCCTGTTTCTGTCCTTGTCTCCTAACAGCCAGTCCACTGCTGAAAAAAAGGTTCAAGCGCCGTGAAATTGAAGCAATCCAGTGTGAGGTGCGCAAGATGTGTAACTACACCAAGATCCTGTCCACAAAGAAGAACCTGGATCACGTAAACAAGATCTTGAAAGCCAAGCGGCTGCAGAGACAATCAAAAACAGGCAATAACTTTGTCAAGAAGCGGAGGGGCCGTCCACGTAAGCAACCTCTCTCCTTTGATGAAGATTCCAGAGACCAAATGCCCGTTCTGGAGAAATGCATTGACCTTCCCAGCAAAAGAGGTCAGAGGCCAACACTGAATCCATTGCTGTTGGAGCAAGCAGCCACTCAAGACACAATCATGGCCACCATTGAGGCTGTCATACACATGGCTCGAGAAACACCACCACCACCTCCTCCTCTTCCTCCTCCGCCACTGCCGCCCCCTCTCCCTCTGCCCCGGACACCCCGGCTTGGGAAAAGGAAGAGCAAATCACCACAAGAGGAGGAGGATGACATGAAAGTGAAGCGGCACCGGAAAGGCAGAGGAAGTGAAAGCGAAGGCCTTCCCTAAGGCCAGCACACCCTGTTGGACATCAAGTGCTGATAGCAGGGTACGTCAGGACTGACAGACTGGAGGAATACAGTCTGCTTTGCCCCCAAGGCAGCACTGGACTTGTCACTTGGGTGGCCAAAACTTATTATGGAGAGATGGGGATCACATCTTCCTCTTCATCACTTCGGTCCCAGTCCCCCAGGAAAGAGGGGGGAAAGGGTGAGGAGATGGAAAGGTGGGGATAAGGGGGGTGGGGGGGATTTCTAAGTTGGGGATATTGTCTACTTTGCAGTTTCCAAAACTAATCAACATCTCAGCATTGCTGTGCTCACACCATACCCGGAGGCGGGAGGTCATCCTTGCAGAGAGCTGAGCATTGTCACTAGGGCTGAATGCTCAACTCAGATTCTGTTTGGTGGGCCAGGTGAAACTAAGAATAACCATACCATAGTAGAAATCACTGTTAAAAAAAAAAATAAATAAAAAGAAAGAAAAAGGAAAAAAAAAAGGAAAAAAAAGAAAAAAAAGGCAAGAAAAAAAATAGTGTAATTTTCTCAACTGTGATCTTGGTTATAATATGTTTGAATTTTTTTTTTCAGTTTTATATACTACCAGGTTTTGGGGTAACATAACCCCAAATGCCTGACTCCTGCTAGAACTATATATATTTTTTTTCTCATTTACTTGCCTAGTTACAACTAGCTGCAATATAGGCAATAGAAAAGTAGAGCCTTACACGCGCACACACTCATTCCGAGTGCTATCCCAAGGAACAACAGAATATCACAGCATTTCTAATAAGGTGTACATGGATATTCAGTTATGATAGCACATTTCTATGAAGCAACTTGGCATTTCCAATGGCATGTGAAAAAGGGTCATCCATCAACCAAGTTGTTTTGATTCTCGGTACATATGAGTAGAGAACAGCAAGACACTTCTGGGGAATAGAGTTATAGTAAACATGGACAAAATCACCAAAAAAAAAATAAAAATAAAAACAAAAAGATAAAAAAGAGAAAAGAAAAAAAAGTAGAACAGAAAAAAATAGAGTAAGAAAACAGGGCCCAAAACTACCAGTTTTTACCACCTGCAGTTCCCAGGGAAAATGATGGGAAACCCAGGCTCCAAATTATTTGCATTGGGTAGCAATGCCTTGATATGTACTTTTAAAGAAAATAGACAAAGTAGATTGTTTTAAAAAATAGAGAACAAAACCCTATGGAAAGTAGGTTATTTCTTGGCAATTATTTCTTAAAAAAGAAAAGGAATAAGTGTTCTTACCTGAAAATAAAAATAAAAATGTTCAAAGGGTATCACCACTGCAATTGTATTAATGCCACTTTGGACATGTTCTCCAAGTTGTGGTTGCCTTAATAAACTAAAAAAAAAATTTTTTTTTTTTTTGTACATAATGTAATTATAAAGCTCTCAGTCTGCATGGATGCAAACTGTGTGTGACAAATCGTCTCTTTAAATGGTCAGTTCAAATTGTACATTTCTCATTCGACTTGTACGTTAACCATTGATCTAACTTGGGTAAAATACCTAAGCTCCATTTCCACAGCCCAATTAAAATGTTTAATTCAAAGACTGAACGTGAAGCTGTTCCATTGCAGTAAAAATAGTTCTGTTTTTTTTTTTTTTGTTCGTTTGTTTGTTTGCTTGTTTGTTTTTTAACAGAAAAAAAAAAAAAAAGCAAAAAAAAAAAAAGCAGTCAGTTGTTAAAATTTGAAATTTGTACTTTCAATTGGTTTCTTTTTAAAGTCCTTCAGTACACCCAACACCTGGCATGGCAAGATGGATATTAAAATGGGAGGGGGGAGGGAAAATTCCAGCAAGGGAGTGGGGATTGGAATTATTTAATGATTCACAAGCCAACTGTTATTCACTTTTTTGAGAAATCCTTAATTGGCATATTGCCAAGGAAACTTCAAATAGCACGACATTAAAAAAATAATAAAAATAAAAATAAAAGACAACAAACAAGTCCCCACCAAAATAATAATAATAATAACTTTCTATTCTGTTATTTATTTACAAAAATCATATCAAGACTATAGTGTTAAAGGGACACTGTAAACATATAACTCATTATTTTTAGAGACTGATTTTTCTTCTGTGATAGCACCTTAGCTTATTAAAACTGAATGCATTTGGTGTTTCGACTGGGGCTGGGGGGCTGGGAGAGGATTTTTGTTTTTTTTTTTTTGAGGCTGGAACAATTCTTGAGATCCTTTCTCCTTACGACTGATAAGATGGATCACAGAAGTTTGTTTCCCATTTGTTTTGCAGCATTCATCATGCTCATTCACGCTTTTTGTTTTCCAATTAATGCAGCTTAGAAATAAACTGACCGGTTGCTCCTTCTGTTACAACCAACTTTGCTTTTCAATTCTCTTGAATCAGCACAGTGTTACTGACTGAAAATGTAGGCCTGAAGAAAAAATGCTTATGCCTCTTCCAGCTCTTCCCTTCTGCCTTAAAAAGCATCAGACTGAGGTTTAGTTGATTCAGAAACTTTTTTTAACGTCTTTCCCTCGGGCCTGAAAGTAGTTGATGGTGTCTCTTAAAAAAGAAAATGTGTTTGGTATTACAGGTAGCCTATAACCTGAAACTAAGCCATCTATCCTTAGTTTCATTGTCAGTGATTGTTAGCATTGAAGGACATTTCAACATGTAGCAAGTAGAGCAAAGATCTGAAAGAACCAAATTCTGTCGTTGAATGCCTCATGTGGTTTCAAGATGCATCAAACCTTACAGGGTGACAATAAGGACTGGATTTGGGCTGACTCTGGGCATAACCCCACCATTGGGGATTACTGAATAATGTGGGGTCCTCAGCAACAGATCCAGTACCGTCAGGGCACTGCTGGAGGAAGATGGTCTTAAAGGTCTTTTCCAACCTGAATGATAACATGCTTCTATGAAAACGCTATTAACCTTACAAATACTACTATCCAAGATGCTGCTAGAGGCAAAACACTTAAGGAGAGCATCTACTTGTGGAAAGAACTACCCCATATTCTCTTCACTGAGTACTTCAAGTAAGGCAGAAAAAAAAAATTGTAAAGGCACTTTTGGTCCTAAAAATAACAAAGGCTAAGGGTACAAGACTTGGTAGCTGCAAGCTATACGTACAAGATGTATCGTAGCCCAGATGCCCAAAATTTATTATTCACAGAGAGGATGTTTTGGGAGAGCACAGTGCCACAATACAGTCTTGACTGTTCATTCAAATAACAGTCCTGTGCAGCCAGGCCTGGCTGACAGCAAGATTAGTTTGTTAATTTGTATGAAAGCAGGCTGGAAATACTGTTAGATGGCACTCATAATTTGTGTTCTGCATGTTGCATAGTCTACAAATATGATAGGCAAGTTGCTGACAGAATAATATCATAAGGCGATGTACTACATGCAGATCATAAAGGATTTAGTTTTAGGGCTTAAGGCTAAAATCCCACTCCTGCAGTTTATTACCCAACGATATTCCAGTAATGAGCTTTCTGATTTTTTCTTCCCTTACAACTAGGAAGTTTTACTAAGGAACTCTCTAAATTTTCTCTGCACATTTCCAAGGAGTGTATGAAACTATGGCGAAAGCCCTTTTGCTTGTTAAGATCCAAAAGAGCCTTTCAAAGACCTCCAACATGTCACAGATTAACACATTTTAGCATGCTTAAATAAAAACACACAAAAAAATAACATGGCTGTCAGCTATGTGAAATGGTGCCATGAATTTGCATCCTCTCTGTGGGCCCTATATTTATCAACCAGAGTAAAGCCAAGAAAAAGGACAAAAGAGAGAAAGAAATAAATGATCACTTGTGTCTCCAAGAGCTTTGTACTGACAATTTGTTGAGCCCTTCACTATTAAATTTTCTGTGAAGCAGCATGCATGTTTTTGGGTTACTGCCAAAAAATAAAGAAAAAGAAAAAAATTAAGCATGTGACAACAGCTACTCAGGTGTCATCATATAGCATAGCCCATGCCTTTTCACTGGACATCAATTCTTTAGACCATCCATGTAGATTGATTTGATTTGTGTTCTTACATTTTTTGGTAGCATCTGGTCCAACAAGGTGCTGATTCATTACTAGGGCTTCTGAGCACTACAACAATATGACAAGTATTCACCCTTCCACACACAAAAATTTACCCAACACTTATTTTCACAGGCCCAGATTCAGGACTGCACTTAAACAGTGCATTTTAATAGTATCCTGAAGGAAAAATAATAATAACAATAATAGAGATAGAAAAAAGGAAAATACAAACAGGATGGTTTTCTGAATTGAGAGAATGAACATCATGCCTTTGCAATGCCTCTTCCTTCTACATCATCCAAAAACTGGGGTGCAGCAGTTCTGAGAAAATTAGAAGCACATCTTAACAAAGGACATGTATTTGAGATCTCCTTAAGATGCCTGCCTAGGCTGTATAAAACACTACATAGAAAAAAAAATAGAAAAAAAAAAAAGAAAAAGAAAAAAACTGTAAAAACATAAAAAGAGCTGCCAATTGGACAACATGGGGGAGCTGTTCAATCCCATGTTGGTTTGTTTTACTTTTCTTTTTCTTTATTTTTTTAAGCTATTTCTTAAATAATAAATGCACATGAAGTGTTAAATATGTATATACTGTATTTCAAAAAAAAAAATTAAAAAAAAAATCAAACGAATGGGGCACAAGATTGTTCTATAAGTCGTGCTGGCTAATTTTTAGTTTGTATTCATAAGTGGTTTTTAAAAGCCTTTTTTAAAGTGTAATTTGCATGTTCTACTTTGATTGTATGTAAACATATTTTAGAGCAAAAAAATGTATTTGTATTTTATTGAATATAGAGGCAAGACAAAAAAAAACTTGTACATTGTTTGAAATGTTCTTTTTGTAACAGTTTTTATTCATGAAGCATTTTTGTACATTTAAAAATGGATATGGACTTGATGTTCTTTGAGGCTTAGATACATCTGGCATGCTTTAATGTCATGCTCCTTCATGATCTTAGATGTTGGTTTTTAAACATTTTTTTCTAAAACAAAGCTCAGTCTTTTCGCTACCAAATCAGGTTAGCACAGTATAGAGCACTTAACTAAAAAAAAAAAAGGAAAAAAAAAAAAGTTAATCCTATTCATATGTTATTCATTGTGTGAAATTAAAGGAATTCAATTCAGTCTAACATGAGTTGTGAATTCTTTTGTCTTATTTTCCATCTGTTTCTCATCACTAGGGAGTTTAATAGCTTTTGGAATACTAATACCATGCATTCACAGGCCCTCTTTATGGTAATGGAGAAAAACATGCTTTGGTTCTGTTCTTTTTTCTCTTTTTTTCTCTTTTTTTTTTTTTTTTTCTCTCTGTTCCAGAATACTCTGAAAAGTTAAAAATGGTCAGTGCCACAGGTCCCAAGGTGGCAAAATGGTCCTTCACACTTTGAGGCTGTCTATGTCACCACATGAAGAGAAAGATCAGTGATCCAAGTGGTGTCTATACCAGCATGGAGATACTTGTCGCACGGGTGGGATTTCCACTCTTGCAGCAGATGGATTGTTGTCTGCTAATCCCTATGGAATCTCAGGGATTTTTCCTGATTGCTCATGAAAAAGAAATTCCATTCCCTTAAGCAGGCAGCAATGTTCAGGCAGGATAGGTGAATGTGTCCTCTCATGTTCTGCCCTTCAGGAGCTTCTTGGGATGGGTCACCTTGGGTTTCCCCCCAGGGTTACATCCAGCTTTCTGATTCTGGTGCAGAGCTGTTCCAAAGATCTCATTTTGATGTTTGTTTGTTTGTTTGTTTGTTTCTCTTCTCTGTCTCTTTAACACATGCACAGGCTCAGCATTTGAGGACAATTTGTAAAAGTGCTGATAGTTTTGCTCACTGCTTATGTCAGACTCTGTAATGCGTAAACCACTGGTCTCTGTCTGCAACCATTTTTTTTGTAAAGGGCCTGTGGTAAGACTTCCTCAGAAGCATCTGTGAACTGTCAGGTTTTGTGCTTGCAGCTGCAGTATCTGAGGACTGATCTTCCCTCCTTGCCAGCTCTTTTCTGAGGTTTACCTCCTACTGCCAGTGAGCATTGCTGCATTTTCATGGTGTCACCTTGCAAAGATGATGGAGAAGACAGGGAGAGCATCTGTTTGGAGAGGGAGTTGGGGATGTTGGTTTTCTGTAGGATAAGGGACTATGTGAGTTTTCCATGCTTTCTCGCCTCTAATCTCTTTTTTTCACCAGATCACTTATACCATGACCTGTATCAGATAGCCACACTCTTCTCTGGTCTCTTCCTGGGCAGGGAAGAGTCATTGTTCAGCAGTCCTGTTGGTTCTACAAGATACATTCAGGCTCTTTTTAGGATCTCTCTGTCTATTTCATCCTTGATAACTACTCCAGCATTATTTCCTCGAATTTACTCTGAGAAAAAATTCTGAAAATCTCAGAAAAATTTCTCAGGAAAAAAAAAAGAAGAAGCTTAGGAAAATCACAAGCTCTGCTATAATATTGCCTTTTTTCAGGTAGATTTTATTAACTAGGTATAATTCTCATGGCTTGTTTTGTTGGCGTTCAGTGCTTTCCAAATTTACTTTCAATATTTCCAAATTTACTTACAAGAATACTTTCATTATTAATCTCCACCTGAAATAATCAAAAGTAGCAAAAACTCAGACTGTGTTAGAAATAATTTTGCTGATTATCTTCCTTTATTTTATTTTTATTTTTTTCCTGAGCACTCTTTACTCACAGAAATAAAAAACTCTGTTCAAACCAACTTTTGTCATTCTCCATATTACTGAAGTTAGAAATCAGAGGATTTCTTACAGTGGATAAGGAGGTGAATAGCATCTCCAAGATCTAAGTATGATCCTAATTCAACCTTCACAGTGCAGGTTGTTCATGTCCCCCAGGACAAAGCTGCTGGTGACTCACCCTTAGCTATCAGAGGCAAACCCTGATCTCTGCCATGCTTCTGTTTCCCATCATACTCCACAGTTATCTGCTGAACTTATTATGTGTAAAGAAAAGTTTCATTGGTGGAGATCCCTGCATTTTGTGCAATGGCAGCATTCCTTGCTATTTTATAACACAAAGCATGCACTTAACTTGAGAACAATTCTTCTCTTACCAAATGGGAGAATTTTCAAGTGACTTCAAGGAGGCTAATGATGGGAAAGAGAAATTCAACACATATCATCCTACATGTTCTAGAAAGCAAAGGGAAGCATAGATGTCACCATAAAAAATAAAATAAAAAATAAAATAAAAAGTTTGGCCTTTTATGAGTAATTATTGAAACACATCTTTACTGCACTAACACAGAGTTTCAGAGCTAAAACAAAGTACAGAATTCATAGTGGAGTATCAAGCATATTTGACTGTGACCTGTAGGAACAACTGGCAGGAAAACAGGAGCTGTAAGAGAATTTGAAGAGAACATTAGTGCCATTGTAAGTCATTTCATTAAGACAATTAACTTTCTCTGTAACATGGAACAGGGCCACTGGTTCACATTCTCAGCTTATTCAGATCAGAACTATCCATTTCAAACATATTAAAGTAGTTTGCAGGAAAAAAAGATCTGTTTTCATTTTCCTAATGGAAACTATTCATCCTGAAGTGGCTTTGGAGTGCCTCTAGTAATATGATGTAATATAAACTACTGTTGTTTGTTGCCTGTAAGAAATATCATACTGAGAAAACACTAAAATCAAATGTTTGGAAAAGTGGTTCAGCAACATTAGTTGTTAGATCACTATAGTATTATAAGAGCTGTGGTAGAAAGAGGAAAAAAGAAGTGGAAAGTCTTTGGGAAAAGAATGAGACATGTTTTTTTATGCACTGGAATGATAGCTAAGCATTGGTAGCTACTGCTTCTCAGGAACAACTGTACTTCAGAAAACTGTTAAAAAAAATTCTTCAGGTTCTGAGCATCTTGGAGGACGTAAACCCTGCATGAATCAAGCATGTAGGAAGCACAGCACTTCTTCTGCAGTGCTGGAAATGGATGCGGTTTGTTTGGCATCTATTTGCCAGAAGGGGTTTATCCCACTCTGGATTCTCTCAGACAGTGATGCAAAGCACAGAACCCCATCATCTCTTCATTCTTTTCCAGGTGATCTGCTCAAGAAGAAGGGAAAAAATAATAATGATTAAAAAACAAAACAAAACAAAACAAAACACAGGTCTGGTTGGCCTTGTTTATCCTTGAAAATACTCAAAAATTTATTTCTCCATTCTACTCCCACACATATTTTTATCTGCCAGTTCCTAAATGTCCCTACAGATGTTATCGGTAAATGAAGCTCCAATTAAATCAACTGAAGTTTTGTCATTGACTCAAAGGAAACAAAATCCCCAGCAGCACCTCTCTGATTTAGATTGCCACAATAATAGTTTTGACCACAAATACCTCCTGATGTCTTCTCACACTCAAAGAAGAAGTATTCCAAGCAGAAAATCAATTAAAATAGAACAAATTATGAAAGCTTCTGCAAGGTAAAGGCAAGGGGGAGAGCACATAAAGAGCATCTGTGGGTGAACATTTTTAGAGCATGCTAAGAGCGCAATGAGACAAGGGATGAAGTGATTGCTGAACGAAGCAAATGATGGTTGGCAGCTAAAATAACGATAATGGCAGGGAAGGGCACTGTTTGTTTTTCTGGAAGGGAAGGGAAGGGAAAAAAAAAAAGGGAAACAAAAAAAAAAGCAGCACACTTGCAGGGAAAAGAGTGAGCTCAGAGATGCAATAGGACATTCGCTGATGTGAGGGAGAGGAAGAGGCTAGAGGATGTGGAAATTTAGGCCACAGTGAGAGTACAAAATGTAGTTTGCAATAGAAAACAAAGAAAGACTGATTGTTTACTTGTACTTCATTGCTGCTATTTAAGATGGTGCAGGACTTACTAATTACACTCATTAAATAGCTACCATCAGGATATGCTTAGTGGCCAGTAGTCTTTAATTATTTTTTTTAAATTGTGGATAAATGGACTTTTATTAAAAGAGTTAAAACTTGATTTACTTGTGTGACATTTGAAAGTTTCCCAAAATCCTTGCCAAGAATTACCAAGTGAAAACAAAGATCTGAATTTAAAGTTGGTTTTATAACATCTAGGTGCTGTTGATCCCATGACTTCCTGTGGGCAATTTGTGCTGATTCAAAATCTAGTACAAGTATCTGAAGGTCAAAAGTTTTCACCTGCAGTGAGTCCCAGCAGCTTAATTTTCATGGGGACTCAAGGTGCTCTGTGCCCAAGAGCAAAAAGATGTGCAGTCCCACCAGTTAGAGGTGGCAAGTGAAGAACTGAGAAAACATTGCCCAAATCATCCAAGATGTCCCATGCTTCTGGCTGCTTCCATTTTGATGTAGTACATGTAATTCTGTGTTGAGTATTAAAAAAAAAAAAAAAAAAAAAACACTCATGTAGACCGCTGAAGGGCCTATTAGAGCTAAACTTTCCAAAATGTGGCTGTTGGTGACTTTTGTAACACTGCAAATAAAATCAACACGAAGACTCTGGCTCACATCCAGCTATTAGGTCTTTGCTTGCGGTACTGTGGGAAGGTTTCTGTTTTGCTTTGTTTTCAAATGGTGTCTCACCAGAATGTTATCTCCAGAATGAGCAGAGTGACCCTGAGGGACCAGATCCTATCAGCCAAGAACTACTTTGCTTTTTCTTCTTGGGGAAAAAAAAAAAGAAAAGGCATAACCTCTCTGTGGTCTGAATTGCTGTTGTCTCAGAAAATCATATCAGCACACACTATGGAAATATAAACAAAAACTTGCATTTAACCTTTGGTTTAGTCCTATTGACTTCAATACAATTTAAATGCTTTAAAATTAAGTGAATAATTAATTGCTTATGTAAGACCAAGTGTTTACCTGACTTATAACTCTAAAACCTGATCCTGGTTGGACAAACTGAAGTTTATTTATTTTCTGCAGCAGAAATAGGAATTGATCAATTCCTGTTTTACAGAATTTCACATGGTATTCTCATCCCCCATTTACCATAGTGAGTCTTTGCATGCATTGAAGAAATATTCGTTAACATTTCGAAAGGGCTGTGAAATCCTGGCAGGAAAGGTGTAATTTTACAAGAGAATACCCTTATCAAAACTCCCATGACAGGCCATTCTCTTCAAGTCAGCCTTTTTCTTTATTTCTTTTAACCGTGAAAAAT